AAAAATGAATTTTTAATGCAAAAATGAAAATAAGAGGAATAATCTCCAGTGACTTAATCTTGACAAATGTTATCCAGGACATAATCCATAAGAGGAATAGTCGACACGTTTCTGTCCTGTGAGTTTAGTACAGACATGAACTACATCTACTTTGGACGATACGATTTTATCGATAGTAGTAGAAAACATATGTAATCACGTAGTTCACATACTGAAACGACGTACTGGCGGTAGTGTACAGTCAGAAGCAATGAGGTTGCGACACTTTTTTTGTGAGTTCAAGAATATGCAAACAAGTTCAGGATTCAAATCCTTCTCATGTATAATGAATAAATATGATCGAATGAGGTTTATCAAATATTTATACAATGTGTAGCATAAATTTAAATGTTACATGTCTCACGAAATGAATGAATTATGATGTCAGTAGAGCACATTATAAGCAATATAATAATTTTAATAATTTAATAATTAATTAATAACTAATAAAATAATAATAATTATATATATATATATAATTAATTAATTAGTAACAAAATTAATAAAATATTAAATAAAAGAAATAAAATATTAATAATAATAAAAAGAGAATTCTTCATAAACAAACTAATATTAATATAAATTAAGGCAAATAAAAGCTAGAATACAGTTATTATTTATATCTAATTACTCTTAATTATCTTTATATTGATTGCGAATTATTGGATTTTAAGAGTTTATTTTGTATTATCCTGAAGATAGTTACAAATAACAACCGAAACGTTGATCTTTTGTTTTTAAAATGTATAAATTAAAGAAAAAAATTTTGTATAATTAGATATAAATAATAACTATGTTCTAGCTCTTGCTTTAATTTATATTAATATTATAACAATAGTTAATAAAATATTAAATAAATTAATAAAATTATTAATTATCAATTATTTATAATTATTAGGTGTACAAAAAAGTTCTGAGCTTTAGATTTGATACAACCGAAATAACAATTTAAATTTTATATATCTTCCCGCCCTTTTGGGGTTTTAAAACAGTAACATTTAACCTCCTGAAATGCGATACGGTTTGGCGTTTGATGCACATAACCTCAAAAATCAGTAGTGTTCACGATGGCAATTACAAAAGAGCAT